TCCGAATTGAGTTTCGATTGAAGGGTTGTGTTCGTATTATTATTTGTGACTCATAGGAACAAGAATCGTCTAATTCCGAGTTCGTACGAAGGAGTTAGAGCCTTTTTAGTGAAATTAAAGAGTGCTGGTGCATCAGGTCTGGTGTGGCACTTCTAGCGACCAGATTAGCACCTTTAGCGACCAGATTTGGGTCTTTAGCGACCAGATTTGCTTATTAAAAGCTGCTGCGTTTCTGTTCGTTTTTTTTTACCTATTTTCATGCGAAATAAGACGGCTTGGGGCGATTTTGAGCAAGAAATCATGGGAAATCTTGAGTTAAGTCACTTGTGATTATTTCTACTTCATAATATTGAATTATCATCGAATAATCCGACTAGATTACATGTTTTTGAGGTGTAAATTGGGGATTTTGGACCTAGGGATTTGAAAATAAGATTTGAAGATTTGAGAGGTCATTTGAGTTTCGATTTTGGTAAACTTTATATGTACGGACTCGTGGCGAGACGAGGAGTCTGTTGGTGTGATTTTCGAAATTTTTCGAGAAGTGGGCCCGGGGCTCGGGTTTTACCAACTTCGTGAATTTTAGTACTTTCCGAGTATTTTTGATTGGGTTATGTTTCTTTAACCCATATTTATGTATTCGCTGTGATTTTGACTAGATTCGACGCGCGAGGAGGTCGATACAAAGGGAAAAGGCATTGCGGACCAGTCTACGGCCGGTTAGAGGTGAGTAGTTGGTGTAAATGATGGCCTGAGGGTTTGAAACCCCGGCTTATCACATTGTGACACTATTGTAGGGCGTGACTCGCACCCCATGGCAGGTGCGGGATTAGTTATGACTGGGGATTGAGACTTAGTCCATCCCGAACAAGAATGTTTCTATATTGGCGACTGATACGCACCCTGTATTGAATATATCTGGGCTTATTGCCGTGTTTGGGGCCTGGTGCCGATCTGTAGCATCCTTAGAGGATGAATGTCATTATGATAGCATGCTTTGTATAATCATTGATCTCAGTCCTGTGTTTAATCACTGTTATGAAATGCTAAGTCACTTTTCCTGAAGTTAAATATCTAAAGTATATTCTTCTTAATAAATTGGAAATTGGGAAATTAATTGAATCTGTTACGTGACTCATATGCATATTGTGGACTGAGTATGGATCGGGCTGCACGCCGCAGCGAATGGTATGATTATATTGCGCTTGGGCTGAAGGAGCCCCTCCGGAGTCTGTACACACCCCCAGTGAGCGCCGTCGATGTTAAATGGATCGGGCTACGCGCCGTAGCGGTCATGTGCATTGCATTGCATCCTTACATTATACTTGACTGATATATTGAAGTTGTTTTGCTGTTGGTTCGTAGTTAGGTGTTGGACTGTTAGTTCTAGCTTTACTTTGTGGCATTTCGTGGATTTCTTATCTTTAGACATTTTATATGCTTATTACTCACTGAGTTGGTAGTACTCACCCCCTACTCCCTGCACCTTGTGTGCAGATTCAGGTACTTCGGGAGCTTAGTTGAGCTAGCCGCTGGTTTTTCCAGAGTTCCAGGAGTGGTCGAGGTAGCTGTTATGACGTCCGCAGGACCCGACTCCTCCCTTATCCCTTTATTATTCCCGTACTTTAGAACATACTTATTTTGAGGATTCTTGACTCTGTATTAGTTAGAGGCTCTAGACTCATGACCCCAGGTCTTTGGGAGTTACAGTTTATGTCAGTATTTCGCATTGTTTTAATTGAGTATTTCAACTATGAGTATTAATATTTGATTCTAAGCATCTGATTAATTGGTTTTGAGCTTTGTGCTCGGGTTGAGAGAGTAAATGGTCGGGCTTGCCTAGCATTAGTGTTGGGCGCCATCACGACCAGGTTTGGGGTCGTGACATCCATGCGACATTACCCTCCACAAAAGAACCTTTGCTGAAACTAGCTACCATTCCCACAACAACTCCATCGGCTTCATTCACCGGTGGATCCAGAACAACACATGGCCTGATTCCTGTAAAATCACGGATATGTAGGCAGCTCAAGGACCAAAGTTCGGCCTCTATTTTTTTTTCTATAAAACATCTCATTCGGTCAAAATTGGCCATCATTTCTTTACCCGAAAACTCTTTCATCCTTCCCGGGTAAAGAGGGGAAGCTGTTGATACCCAATTTTTCCCAATAATATTTTTAAAGTACATATATACTTTCAAAACTATGCATTAGCATCAATTGTTATTTTTTCATAATTTCTATATTTTTAAATTAATTTTATCCTAGTATTTTATTTACGTAAATAATTACAAATTGCATCACAAACGGCTTTATAGTAATTCATGACTTAATATTGCTATTTATGGTTATATTAAGTTCAATTTATTTTACAAATGGCCAGATTTACACCTTTTGGTTACAATTGCACTAATTTTGCAATTATAGCCCACGTATACATCATTGCATTATTTTACCAGAAATTAGTCCATTATATATTTTAAAATATTGAATAATTATTTTAAAGCACTTCTATGCATGAAAAATATTTTTTCTCATTGTTAATTATTTTAAAAAATATTTTTTATTCAATTACTTGGGTATTTAACAAATAACCTTTTAATTTCTCTAATTTTTCGGGCCTAACCCTTTTAATACCAGCCCAGACCCCTTAATAATACTAACCCAATTCACCCCAGGTCCAAATCAAATTAAAGTCGGCCCCAAACCCTCTAAATCTTGGTCGTTGATCATAGAGATCAACAGCCATTATCACTTCTTACCTTTTTAAATCCAAATGACCCCCCTCTAACCTAGCTCATTCTCACCACACTCTGCCGCCCTCTCTTCAGTTCTCTCTCTGAGACCTAAACTTAACCCTAGCCGCCGCCGCCCAAAACCAGTCCTAATCCCTCTAATTCCCACTCGATCCATGGATTCCCATGGCTGTTTGAGACTTCTACTTATCTCCTACGTCTCCTGGTTGCTCGTTTTTGTGATTTCATGGAAAGATCTCGATGAGATCTAGTCCAGATCTTGTGCAAGACCATCTGAGAGTCCGTCGATGGTCTGTGAGTGCTTTTTTATTAATGTTTTACGGTTCAAATCTCTGGTTCAAGACCAAATTTCCCTTTATCCTTTCTTTTTCTTCAAAACCTAATGTTTGGACTTGAATCGGTTCAGATCTTTGAAGATCTGGAGCGACTCTGAGTTCATCACTAATTTTTTTAGGGTTCTCTTAATTTTAATCGATTTTCAGCACTATGTTATTCTAGGGTTTTTGGTTTCTTTATTATTTGTTGTCCGAATCCCTGCCTACTTGAAGTGTTTCAAGTTTCCATTGTTGTTATCTTTATGGGTCTTTTGATTTCTATACTCTCAATCAACCTCAAGTGTTTTCAAATTAGGGTTTTTCTACTTCTTCTATTTTTTGCAAAAGGTTTTCTGAGATCTTCATGTGTTGTTTAATCTCTCTCGCATGATCATGTTTCTGGTTCAATTGACTGACTATTCACTGTTTTATTTCAACCTCTTGTTCGTGTTATTGGAATAATTAAACTAATTAGCCTAGTTATCTAGGTTTCATTTGTTTACTAAAGTAACTTACTGATTTCTGTTTGTCTCCCTTAATCCTGAGGCTCTTAATTTACATCTCTTGTTTATTTATTGTTTAACTGGCCTTTGATTGGTCTTTAACTATCTATGATTGCCTTATTCGTGTGATTGATTGTTTGGTTTATGGGCTCTAACCCTAACTGACTGTTAAACCTACTTCTTGCCTTATTTGATGATTTAATTAGAGTTATTTATGGTATAATTCCCTAATTTCCTATCCCCAATCAAGCATTGATTGATTATTTGGTTACTTCATTTACCTTATTCACAATAGTTACCTGCCTTGCCTTAGTAAACTATCTGAATGGTTCAGGGATTCTTATTGATTCCTTATATGGTATGATTGGGATTCTTTCCTTAATTAGACCCCTATTATTATCGTTTGATCGATTACCCTCTTATTAAGGAGTCTACTCTGAACTCCTTTATGTGATTGGATTCTGTAATCCTATGATTTCCTTAATTGACTGAATGCTAATTCTTTTACCTTATTTTTGCTCCACTCTGAACTGCTATATAAGCACTATCATTCTGCTCCATTCGACACGAACACACTGTTCAGAATACATACACATACATTCAAACTCTCTCTTCTTTCTTTGCTACTTGTGCTGACTGTTGGTCTAGCCGGCTGAAAGCCAAGGCTAGGTAGTGGAGTTGCACCTGTTTTTACATTCTGCATTTCTCTTCTTTAACTGGTATGTCTCTAGTTAGCTTTTGAAACTCAACTTTATGTGTTCTATGCCTATACATCTATGTTTGTTCCTGTATTAGTTATTTAATTTGGTTTCTCTGTTTGTTGTTACTAAGCATGTCTAAATTCTGCCTTATGTGTAATCAGCATGACTGACTTCATTTAGTTCTTTGATATCTATCCAGCATGTTAACTTAGTTTCGTTACCCCTCCCTTTAATTGGTATGACTATGTTAGTTATTTAATCTTCTAGCGCATTCAATTGGTCCTGATTATGTCCAATTCTGTTCAACACATCTTTGTTTCAATATGATTCTGTTACATTCTTTTTCTATGTCTTAACTGTCTATGACTAACTTGTTCAGTATACTCCTAGTTGTTCTGGGCATTTGCTGTATCAGTTTCCCTGTTTATGTGGTTTCAAACCTATATGTTTCCCAATCCCCTTCCTCCTTGTTTGTAATTCTGCTTGTTAAGTGAATCTGGGTAGTCCATGATTAATTGGATTGTTTGCTGAGTATGTTTTCCTCAGAATGATTTCAAAACTGCTGCTCTTACTCCTAGCATTCTTCTCAAAAACTGGTCACTCCCAGTGTGTTTTTTTTAAAAAAAAAAAACTGTTTCTGAATCTTTTCGCTTCTAACTGTTTTACTAAGTTTTTCAACACTATGTCAAGCTCTCTCACCCTACTCCTAGATTATTAAGTTCTGCCCCTCTGGTATGTGTAATGCTTAGGGATCCTTGAGATCTCTCTTAACTCTGGCATACCAAGGCTGGCCCTTCCACACTGCACATAACCAATCCCCATTTGAGAAATGGTCCTGGTGTGAGTACTCCCCGGGATCCTTGAGGTCCTTAGGGAACTCTTACACACCAAGGCACACATTATTGGCTGTGAGATCTTTGGCTTCTGAGATTCTGTTGAAGGCCTGGCATTCCCAGGTTTACTTTGAGCCTGATTTAGGCTCCCTATAGCATAGTTTCATTTACTTATGTAATTCATTTGATCCTGGTCTGCAATAATATTATTTGTAAATAGATATTGGGGCAATTAGTAAAAAGGGAGGGTTCCTATATGATATTTGTGGGAGGCTGGGTAGATATCATGCTTTAGGTTGATACATAATAGAAATCATGCTCTTAGTTTATATACATATTTGCAACAGGAATCCTGCTTTGAGTGCATATTATGATAGAAATCATCCTCTAGGCCTATATGCTATGTCACTTGCATCAAAACATGTCATAAGTCTATGTTATTTGCATTAGAAAACCTGTCTTAGGACACTCACGTTTATATTTTGCATATTAGAAACATGTTATAAGTCCATCACTTCTTTCTCTGACTCTGCATAAGTTATTATCACCTGGAAATCATGTCATCAAACTGCTGCTGTAATCATGCTTATTAAAAAATAATCATCTTTATGTGCATTTAAAAATCCTGATTTAGGACTTTGTTTGCATTGGCTCTAAGCCATGTCTACGTCATTTTGAATAAATAACTGTCTATAAAAAGGTTTAAAATAGTCCCACACATAGATATCATGTCCTAGTGCAAACATGCATAAAATCAGTTTTGTAATATTAATCACTTAGATCAGCATGCCTATAGGACTAAATAACTTCAAGTTGTTTAATTAGTTCCCAGATTATGACTGCATACAGCCCCACGCCTAGGCAAGCCTTAGGCAATTAAATAAATGAGAAATCAGGTTCTGTTTATGTATGAAATTATCCAGGTTTAACAGGCTATAAAATCAATAGGCAAACTAATTAGAGTTCTGCCACTTCGCTCTTAAACAAATGCTGCATATTCTATGTCTGTGATATTCATCTAGATATCATGTTCTAAGGCTTTATGAATTTCTTCAAGATCGGTTGTTTGAGACGTGCTATGTATCTGTTTATGTGTGGAGGCAAACGTGAGCCCTTAATTGCTTCCCTATTTGGCAGTCCTATGTGTTCTTTGTTGTCGCTTAGATTTTACCTTTTAAATACCTTAGGAGTTTCTAGAACTGCCTAAGTATAGAGTTCTTAAACGCCTCCGGGACCACAAGGAATGGGCGGGTAAAGCACGCTTAGAGTTCGTTAATTAAACTCGCTTATATAACCACTAAGGGGAGGGTAATGGGTAGTAAAAGGATATGATGACATGCGCGCTAATGTCATGTGTAGCCCCTCCAGTTGAGGAGGATTGCCGGGCATTGCACAGATTGATCCTATAGGCTAATCAACTTAGGACTTCCCTTTCCCCAATTCACATATGTGTACTTAGACTGCCTAAACTTCCTTGGCTTATGTATGCTTGGAATGCTCAAACCTCCTTAATTTACGTGTGCTTAGACCATCTAAACTTTCTTGATTGTATATGTGTTTAGACTGTGTAAACTACCTTTATTTGTAAATATGTGCTTAGACCGCTTACTCGTTAAATGACTAATTCACATAACTAAGTTCGGCCAGGACTCACCGTTGTGGATCGCGAGAGGTGCCTAACACCTTCCTCTCAAGGTTATTTCGAGCCCTTACCCTGATCTCTGGTAATGCAAACTGGTTACATGAGTTAATTACTCTAGGTGCCCTAACGCACCTTAATCCGTTAGGTGGCGACTCTTCAAATACCCAATTCCCAAAAGGAAACGAATTGTTCCCCCATGAATGTCGAAACCCGGACACCGCGAAGGAAAAGGGGACGCAACACATGGCAGGTGAATGGGCCCATATTCACTTTTGATATTTCCAGCATTCATGGGATTCAATCCCAATTTTAATTGGTCTATTAATTAAATAAACGTTTTGTATCTTACATCTATATTATATTAAAGGAAATAGAATTAAAATATGAACAAGAGGACAAAGGAAAAAAGACAAGAAAAATTAAGGCTTGGTGTTTAACAAATTTTAATTAACCACAAAAAAAACTTTGAAAATTCAAAAAAAACACAGAGCTAAAAAATGAAGATCCGTATCATTTCTTGCGCACTCACTCATACAAATTGATTTACACATGCCTTTTTTAAATATTAGAATTTCATATACTTAAAAATTGATTTACTACGATAGTCTTTCCTTATAAATCTTTATTTAAGCAACTTTTGCTTAGGTTTGGCTTCTCTACATTGCTTAGGGTTTAGCTTCCACACAAACTTCTGCAAAGTATGGCTCCAAATTATAACTATATCAGCGAAATATCAATGTCCAAAATGAGTTGGAATTTGAAGGTTCGTGTTGTTAGATTGTGGCACGTTCCAGACCGCGAGAAATCAGAAAATTCTAATTCAATTGAATTAATTATTCAAGATGAAAAGGTGCATACTCTTTTACATGTTGTTATTTTTTTCGAGCTGTGATGTATTTTCTTCAACTTATGCGCCTTACTAACTTAAATTTCTTTTCAAATTTTTATTTTAGGGAGATCGAATTCATGCAACTATTGAAAGAGCTGTTATGCGTATTTTTAAAATAAAAATACATGAAATGGGAAAGTATGTTATGAAAAACTTTGTGGTTGGACCTAGGGGTGTCAATGGATATTTGAAAACCGACTAAACCGACCGAACTGTACCGTACCAAACCGATTTTTAGATTTCACTCAAAGAAACCGTAGGTTTTTGTATAAATC